CGTATGCTAAAGTGAGTAATCTTCCTCTCACCTGGTCAACTGCGTGGGAGATGGGAGATAGCACTGTGCCATATTCAGACCAGCATACGATTTTCGCACGTGTGATTCGCAGGAGGTGGAAGCATTTTCTTATAAATATCCCAGTCAGTGCTATGATAATTATTTGGTTAAGGGCGTGTGCGCTGCGAGTAGTGTTGTTAAAGGAATATTTTCAGAGATGCCCAAGGTTGTTCTTTTATTGGAACCGAGAGAACAACAGAGAAAACACTTGCAAGTCTTACAAACATTTAGAAGTTTGTGTGAAGACTTTTATTAAAGGTTCAAAGTGATACACTTGCATTTACTAGTTAATGGATACCATTAAATAAATAGCATCTAAAAGTAAAGATAGGCAGTTATAAGTGAAAATCTTTCATTTCATAAAACGTGTCAGTGTTTGGACAAGATGGTAAATCAGCTCCTTCACTTAAGAAATCAGTTTACGATAGTAGATTTCCAAAGACTACATAAAAGCGCTGAGAACTTAGAATAAAATGCTTCTTCACTCCACTTTTTCCAATATTCTGATATTAAACGTGGCTTTTAACGCACATATACCTGAGATGTACTGGACATTCTTACAACATGCGAACATTAAAGAAACTTAAACCATTATGAAGTTAAATAAGCGGTTTTCGTGAGTTTTGTCACATTGCAACTGTCATGTTTCCGTGGCCGTACTTCATTATGAAATTGTCCACAATTCGATTACACAAAAATCTTTTCTCAAAAAAGATCACCACGTAAATTATCATTGTACGCTTCATGGTCTGTTGCTTTGCTGAATTCATAAATAAAGAACACGATTCCTAGTAGAACAAGAGTCTGAGTATTGAAAGTTATTACCTATGTTGTAACCTCCATATAACATATGCTCAGTTGAAGACGGAAGTCACTTTATAAAGAGAGGGAATATTTGCTAGATTTAATAGAATTCAATGTCACTAAAGAAATCATCCCTCCATGAAGTTCCTCTTGTCAAAATACACAAAAATTGGAGCAATTGAGGATTCATTGATGCAAATGGGATCGGGTGGTCAGGCTCGCTGGCTTGGTTGATACATATCATCGGTTCCCAATTGCACAGATCGATGCTCATGTTGTTGATCACTGGATTGTCTGGTCCAGACTCGATTATTTACAGACCGCCGACATATAGCTGGAATATTGCTGAGTGCGGCGTAAAACAAAAACTCACTCACTCTCTTGATGCAAACTGTTACACGTTTAAGGTCAGCCTCCGAGGTCAACTCAAACAGGGTAGCGGAAGGATTTGTTAGCTGGTGATTAGTCTCTTCCCAGAATGCACGGTTCTGTAGCGACCACTTAAATGTCAGTGCTTTATCTATGGGCACGTCCAAGGCGCCTTGCAAATTAAACTTAACAAAGACATACTACAAATATTGTCTTCAAAAACATTAAAACCTGAATTAGCAAGGTACTCATTGATGCAAATTGTTTAAGATCCTAGGTCAACTCAAACAGGTTAGCGGAAGGATTGTTTGGCTGGTGATAAGTCTCTTCCCAGTATGCATGGTTACGTACTGACCACATCACGTCAATGCTTTGTCTGAAGGCACATCCAAGGCGCCTTTCACACTAAACCTTTACCAAAGAAATGCTACAAACACCAGCTCAGAGGTTTAAATGGGAACTGCTAAAACGCGTCCTCTGTTGCGTGTATGCATGTTTTAACTATCACAACATGTAGCGTATATTACGTACCCTTAGTATTTTTGAGCGATTGTGGGTGTGAGTGTGTGCGTGCGTGTGTGCGTGTGTGCCTGTGTAAGTGTATTGTGGAAGGATGATTTCTAAATTGACACGCAGCTGTTAACTCAGATATCGTTTCTTACATTATAAAGTGTGCGTGGTCAGTGCATCTGTGTGTACATGTTTGTGTAGTACACGCGGTATGTGTATGTTATCTTGGTATGTGATGTGTGTGTCTGTTAAATGTGGTTTGTGTGGCCATGTGTGATGGGTGTACAATGTGGTATGTGTTGCCATGTGATATTTGTGCGTTCTTTTAAGGAAGTGGAATTCATTAGTGAACAGTGCTGTAATCGTATTTCTCTGTTTCTGTAAAGATCTAGTTGAATTCATGGCGTTGTGGCACTGGTGATCACTTACATTAGAAATAGTACAGGTGGCGGAATTGTTTGCCAATTCATGGGCTGCTTTTTTATACTGGTGTCGGAAAGCGATGTTGCTGTGCTAAGCTCGGGGGGATAATGTTTTGTTCACATAAAAGTCTGACGTCTCTCCCAGGTGGGGTGCATCAATTAATGAGTGTATTGCGTAGTTTAAACTCTAACGTCGATTGCTGACTTTCTATTAGAAACAATACAAAGGTCAGAGAGAAGTACACAAACTCATCTTATAACTTCTATTTGGATTTGTTAGGACATTTTATCTTTACTGCACAAGAACAATGACAGATCCGATATAGTTCATCATCCTTTCTTTATTCCGGTCATGTACAATACATATCTCAGCCGATGAGTCCAGCTAGAAGCGCCAAGTTACTTCCTGATCCGGATCCGGAGTGGTGAGATCCAGAGCTGTGGCCAGACATGGGGACTGGGATGAACAGAGGGTAGGACTCACTGGAGGAAGAGGAACTCTTGCTGGAACCACAACACCCACAGCTGGAGGAGCTGGAAGATCCGGAAGATCCGGAGGAACCGGAAGAGCCAGAAGACCCGGAAGAGCCTGAAGAGCTGCCATGGTGACCGTGCCCATGGTGATGGTGACAAGATGACATCTCAAGAGTTGCAGCTGCATCGTAACGACAAAATATGAATTCATATGAGTTAATATTACTGCGCAAAAAATGTCACTTTCAGTGGCCACATGTGTGCTCTGTAAAAGCAGTCGTGTCTACAGGTGCAACAACTGGGATGTTTTCATTCTGGTGTACATGTACAACACACCATAGGGAAAAATATTTTCAAATCAGCATATTTCCAACAAAGAAGTGTGGATTCACAAACCAAACAATTTAAAGTGAATGTCTCATCGAAGTCGCAGTTTTTCACAACTCACTGGTTTTACAGACGTTTTATAAACTGAATATAATACCTTTCACAGGCCTTTGGTTTCACACCAGGACAACCTACATCCCAATGGTCCTAAAACTGACATAGCTTAATGTATATTTTCAGTGCAAACAATTAATGATTGCCTTTTCCACCCAAACGTCCATCTAATCCAATGGGAGAGAGTTTCTGATTTACATATAAATACTAATTCTACAAAACCACTACGACCAAACCAAGTGATGGAACAAAGACATTACAGAAAACCTTACCCAACACAAGCAGAACACCTGAGAAGACGATAAGTTTGTTCATCCTGAAACTGAATAAGGTTTATCTCAAGCTTTACGAAATTATGAATTACTACCCAGGCGTAAGGTCTATTTAAGAGATAGATATTACCCCTTACAGTGTGTGCATAGTGATATGGACGTGCACATCAGAACCTGTACCCCATGAAGCCGGAAGACTCATGGGCGCACCACCGTCCTGAGTGAGCCGATTGAACAGCAGGGTGCCATTTCGACTGTTTTGGATCAATTATCAAACTTTTAAGTAAATTTATATAAAATTAAATAAATATAACAATGTGCAAACACGATGTGGGAGATGTTATCATGTAGCAGAAAATATATGTTATATTTGTTGTTTTAGGGTTATCGCTTTTACTTCTAGCAAACACCTGGTTAATTTCGCTTCAGGTGTTTAACAATACAAACTGTTGAGACACCCCGCCGTGTCGACGTACGTCTGAATGAGTAAACTTCCTATCACCTGGTCAGTTGCGTGGGAGATGTGAGATACACTTAGTAATATTCAACTTTGGTTACGATTTTCGCACGTGTGCTTCGCGGGAGGTGGAAACACTTTCTTTTAAATATCCCAGTCACCTTGTGTAAGATATGTTGTATGTTAATGGCCTACTATACTAGTATGTGAGTACTGTTCTTAAAGGAACTTTTAAAAATGACCAGGGTTGTTCTCTTGCCTTGAAACAGTAAAGTGTGCAACACAGCAAATTGCAGACGGAAGACGATTTGCTGAATGAGAATTAAAATTAAAATTTAAGAATGAAATATTCTACATTATACATGAATCTACATGAGTAGTTTCTCCGGAAACCACTGTGGGTGACAACAAGTCCCCTGCAACTGTACTAAGCATCAACCTCCACACCCTTATGTTGTAAAACAGTGTACACGCTCTAATGTTAAAAACATGTATATCTTACAGGACACTGACAAGGAAGAGTGTAGGGCCGCTAACATGGCCCTGTGGCTGATCGGTTTTAACAAAGGTCCATGTTAAAGTATGGGAGTCACGATCCTCTTTGTGCAAAGATTGCTTTGTCTGTTTGTTTGTTGTTTTACGCCGCACTCAATAATATTCTAACCATATGGCGGCGGACTATAAATATTTGAGACTGGACCAGTCAATCCAGTGATCAACATCATGAGCATCGATCTACGCAATTGGGATACGACGACACGTGTCGCCTCATACGATAAGCATGGTGGCTGAAGTGGATGCAAGTGGGTCCAGTTCAAACGAAATGAACCTCATGATACTTTCAAGAGATCGTGAGTTATTATGTTTCTAATCCTAGTTGGAATCCGTAGCAGAACAGGTACCATTCAAAAGAGGATCAGGGTTTTTCAATGCGAGACTTGTCCGTGAACCCTCATGTTTTCAATCATAATGTCATTCTATCAACCAATGACATGCAAAGCCGTGACTCTACTTGCACATTCTGTCGAGATGTTGGCTTTGTATTACTGACAGATGTGTTCAAAAACATTCGCACTGAAATCTAATTATGCAATTAGGGTAGCCAAGTGGTTAAAGTGTTTGGTAATCACGCTAAAGTTCGCTTCCCCACACAGACCCTATTGACTGATGCATTAGGAATGATAAAAAACGTTTGCGATGTGTCTACAGTTTTATTACTCGTTGGTTATTTCACGTGGGTTCACTAAGTGGTGAAGGGGTTTGCTCGTCACGTTGAAGTTCAGTTCTTCCGACAGTCACCACGTATGAAGCCAATATTTATTCTCATATCACTCACACATAAGGAATTAGGAAAGGATTGCTATGTGTCAACATTTTTATTACTCGTTGGTGATTTCACTGACATATTCGTTATCCATTCTAAATGCTTCTTGTGTTGTGCAGTCTGAAAAAGTAAAAGCAGAACTTCATTGAATAAGCATATACTCAGATCGCAGTCGATATCAATACTCAAAGTCATTTGTACCACGTAAATATGAATATATTTCAGAATATGTTTAAATGTGATTGTTAATGGGTTTACGCCAAACACCTGGGTTCTTTTCCTCACAAGAGATGTATATATGAGGCACATTTTGATGTTACCTTCCGTAATATTAGATACAGTTTACGCCATAAGTACTGAGGTTCAGACACCGGGCACACCAAATAGTTGAACTGAGCAACAGTAAAAATGTACATTCTACCTTTCATTTCCTTCCAAAGGACCCGAAGGATCCGAAACCACCAAAGGAACTGAGTCCAGACGAAGAGAAACTTGAGGGAAAGAAACTCTTGAACTTGCTTGAGCCCAAGCCGCTACTGCTGCTGCTGCTGCTGTGACGGTGATGACTATGCCGGTGATGACAACAGCTCTCAACAGCATTGAATGTTAGGGCAACTGGAAAAACGAGATTGTCAGACACGTAAAACTACGATTGAGAAAAACGTGTGCTCTTGTAATGATGCATATTAATAATGTTTAGAACTGGTTGAAAAAATAAACTTATCCACTATATTTCCACTTACAGATTAAGAACTAAAACTATGTTCGTATTCTGATTATATAAAAGCGACAAAGGCCTTTCCATATTAAGGGCGTTTGGGTGGCCTAATGGTTAAAGCGTCCGCTCGTCATGACCAGGGTTCGATTCCCCACACGGACACAATGTGTAAAGCCCATTTCTGGTGAGTGACATTGCTGGAATATTGCTAAGAGAGGCGTAAAACCACAATCACGCACTCACTGCCTTTCAATATTGATAAAAGCACACCTCTCGACTGTACAATCCAGACTGTGCCATGACCATGTAGTGACGAATTACAGTCAAATAGTTGTGGATACAGTGTCCCGTTCCATAAAGCCATCTTCCAGCCAAGACGATCCTTTGTGGAACAAGAACTTGGTCGTCATGGTAGCATGGATATTGCTGAGAGTGGCGTTAAACAACAAACACGGCAAGTACCATCCTGACATAAGCCAGATAGTGTACCAAGTGATGTATTTCATTAAACATATTGAGTCCCTAATACACTGAAGCTTATTACCTTAAAATATATCTGTTTCCTTTTATACATGCACGTTGACTTACCGAAACAGATGGCCACCATAACGATCACTGTGGACTTCATGATGTTTGTGGTCTGCGGATGAATTCACAGAAAAAGAGAGATTTGTTGATGAGCCAAGTGACTGTTTAGTGATCGTGGTCCCGAGCGTTGGTTCGGTGGAAGATCGCCAACGTTTATTTATACCAACGCAACGACTGATGTAAAGGGAAAACAGCTTCAAAAGATCGGAACAGGGTTATATTTCTTTAAAGGGCCTTGTCTTTGTACCTCCATCGTCACCCCATCACAGCATGTGGCTTCCTTTGTTGTCTCTGCTTCAAAAACAGAAATATATGAATCAACAAGGGCTAGGATCAATCGAAAAGCTCTGTGTTTAAGATTCACCTTCGCGGTCAACTCACGCAGTCAGCGGAAGGATTTATCAGCAGGTGATAAGGCTCCTCCCAGCATGCTCGGGTTTGTGGCTATCTTCGCTACCATCGATGGCGTCCATGTTTTATCTAGATGCACGCTCTGTGTACCTTTCAGTATAAACTTTAAACAAATATATGGTGAAACACTACCTTTTTGTACTGTAACATTGTGTTTAAGCAACCGCCACCAGAGACTATATACTGAGATTACCCAGGGAGACTATATAAGTTGTAGAGTATCCCTGGATTACCCAACGAGTATAAGAATGTACACACCATAATGTATAAGAATTAGCTGTGTTACCAAATTTGTATTATCGCTGGGATACAAACACGAAGGTAATGTTTCTTTTTATCATCCCTAATATATTAAATAAAAAAGCTGTAGGTTCCCTGTTTTGGAAACGTTGCACAAAACTGAACAGTGTCATGACTTCTACTTTTTGACTTTGGTATTGTACACCTGAATTCTTCTTTATCAAATGAATAACAGCGACGAAATATTTTCTATATTCATATGAAATCTGCTCAAAGAAGAGCCGACTGTAGTATTTCACGTCTGTATCGACAAGTATATGGGTATGAATCCCTATAAAACAGTTAAGATACCAAGCGTTCGTCAAAAGAGCAAATCCTGTCCGATCCGTGACAGCAGTCACAAACACGTGCAGGGGCAAGTCAATTGTTGACCTAAAACAAAACACAGAAACGTGACACAAGTCAAACTAAGGATATTGCATCCGACTAACTAGACTTCTGGATCAGCATCGGAGTAATTTGTGGGACGAGAACAATATTTTGTTGGTTGGGAATACCCAGATGATCACCTACAGTGTCTTGACAAGATAATAGGTATGAGTTTCGAATTTTTAGGAGTCTTTATTCCGTTTTTATGTATTCTACAAATCATTAGATCCACTGCGCAAAACAGCGCGTGAAAATCAGTTCGCGTGGATCAATAGACATGCACTAATCATGCTATAGGGATATTCTGAGTGTCCAGAAGGAGAGTAAATGTACTTGATGCACGATAACTATAATAAAGTTCAAATAGCAATAATCAAAGTTACATTTCACAATGTACGTAACAACAAGGTAGCGTCCCAGTACTTACCTGACAGGTGTACAACAAGGTGGCGTCACAGTACAAGGATGCACGAATAAAAGCCGCTTTTAGCAATATTCCAATAATATCAATATATTGGCAATATGTTTCACACATTGTAACCATGAAGGGAATGGAACCTGGGCTTTTGGTTTTAAACACTACACTTTCCAAGCCATCCTCAATATAACTGGGGAGACAGAGATTATTTAATGATATTCTCAAATTCCAGCTACCAGAAGCAAATATTTCATTTATTCGTATTTCCAAATCTTTGGAAATTCAGACGGAATTACACAAAGAACTGAAATTATTCAGACGAATGACATCTTGCTGGGCGATTCCATGTGCCCCAAACTGTGGACTTACTTCCTCATGGACTGCCTTCGTGGTTACGTGGATAGAGTATTTGCCAAGAGAGAGAAATGTCAGTGGTTCGATCCTACCAAAGACGTTAAAAGACGGTATTTGTCGTTTCCCTGTCGGTTGGCATTAAAGTGAGACAAAAATATGAACGGGTCTCTTCGGAGTTTACTGTTTCAAAGTGGGGTATCCATGGTAACTGTGACATTGCCTCTCAGTGTGATGGCACTATAAAACCGGCACCAGTCTGGCGTTTCACGCACTTTGTTTCAAGCTCAATGGTCTCGAACACGACGTAGAGCCCCTTTTGACCTCATCTCCTCGGATCTATTCCCGATCTGTTTCCTTCGGGAATACAGTAGAGTGCGGATAAAATTCAACCGTGTTAAACGTTGCGCCCAGCGGATCACCTAAAGACTCTACGTTGTGAAAATGAAGTCACACGTGCACTTTCCTGTCTGTTTGTAATAGTGTCGGGATGTTTTCTATGCTCAGCCAGCATCAAATGTCAAAAACAGAAATCAGGAGCGCTACGGGCATGTAAACCCTTGGAACTATTGGGAGAATTCACGTTTTAACTTCGATGACATGCTGGAGAATTCCACCATATTTATCTTGAACATTCCATCTAATGCTGAGTTTCCGTCCGAATGCAATGTGCACTATGCCTCTATTGAGTAAAATATACTTGCACGTTTTATTTCAACGCGATGGTCACGGGATATCAAAGGTAGTGCGATATCACAGAGTTCATTGTGTCACCGTTATATGTGGATGCTTTCAAGAGGCTTGGCGTTTCCTGGACGCCCATTATGACAAGTCGGTGTTCGGTTCTCTCTGTGTGTGATGTACAGTTCAAACTGTCACGTTGTTGGTTTGTTTTTTAACGCCTCACTCAGCAATATTCCACGTATATGTCGGCGGTCTGTAAATAATATGTCGGTGGGGAGTAGCCTAGTGGGCGGTCTGTAAATGGGCACAATGTGTGAAGCCCATTTGGGATACGATGATATGTGTCTAACGTAAAACTAAAAGTCAGTCTAGACCAGACCTGATGATCAACAGCATGAGCATCGATCTACGCAACCCGTTAGTCAGCGAGCCTGACCCTCGATCCCGTTAGTCGACAAGCATGTGTTGCTGAAGATCACTTGATTCTCACCCGTCGCAATATATGTGTGCCACTGATTATGGATCTTATTACTGTACATATGTTAAGAACAAATGCATAGTTATTGGACTTATTCGTCATATTCAAGCTTAGTCCGTACATTTCAGATCTTCCATCTCATATCATTGTAGAGAAAACAACATTTACAACAAGCACGCTTGTAACGAACTTCAGTAAAACGAACTGGATTTTATCCCAGCCACTAACCGTAATATTTTAGTCGAAATGCTTTTACCGAAACTACCGATGTAACTAACTAGACTTAGGTACAATATCGAATAAACTTTATGGATAATAACGTCTTTTTATTCGTGAGTGCGACGTTTTGATACAGATTCTTGTACCGTTGTCAAGCATGATACAGATTCTTGTACCGTTGTCAAGCATGACAACCGTACAAGAATCTGTATCGAAACGTCGCACTCACGAATAAAAAGAAGTTGTTATCCATAAAGTTTGTTCGATATTGTACTTCCCAACTTCTAAAATGCCACTCAAAGAAGTTAGACTTAGGTAGTTTTCATTATTTGTATATCTTTTCTTTGTTTTTTTTAAGAAAAAATAGGTCGGGGGGTACGAAAGGAACTCTAACCCCGTAATTTACTGTATTTGAGCGCATGCTGTAAATGTCAGTCAGTCCCATCACTATAAGACAGTTTATTACGCATCAAAGTATACCGTATAGTAGCATATACCTCATTAAAGCATACTGTATGGTAGTATATACCGAATCGAAGTATACCATAAACCAGCATATACCTCATCAAAGTAAACCGGATAGTGGCATATACATCATTAAAGTAGACTGTATGGTAGCATATACCGAATCGAAGTATATCGTATACCAGCATATACCTCATCAAAGTATACCGTATAGTGGCATAAACATCATTAAAGTCGACTGTATGGTAGCATATGCCGAATCGAAGTATACCGTATATAGGCATATACCTCATCAAAATAAACCGGATAGTGGCATATACATCATTAAAGTAGACTGTATGGTAGCATATACCTCATCAAAGTATACCGTATACCAGCATATACCTGATCAAAGTATACCGTATAGTAGTATATACCTCATTAAAGTAGACTGTATGGTAGCATAGTGAGTGAGTTTAGTTTTACGCCGCACTCAGCAATATCCCAGCTATATGGCGGCGGTCTATAAATAATCGAGTCTGGCCCAGACAATCCAGTGATCAACAGCATGAGCATCGATCTGCGCAATTGGGAACCGATGACATGTGTCAACCAAGTCAGCGAGCCTGACCAACCGGTCCCGTTAGTCGCCTCTTACGACAAGCATAGTCGCCTTTTGTGGCAAGCATGGGTTGCTGAAGACCTAATCTATTCCGGATCTTCACGGGTACCCGTATACCAGCATATACCTATTAGTAATCAAAGTATACCGTATAGTGGCATATACATCATTAAAGTAGACTGTATGGTAGCATATACCGAATCGAAGTATACCGTATACCAGCATATACCTGATCAAAGTATACCGTATAGTAGCATATACCTCATTAAAATAGACAGTATGGTAGCATATACCGAATCGAAGTAAACCGTATACCAGCATATACCTCATCAAAGTATACCTTATAGTAGCATATACCTCATTAAAGTACATGTATACTGTATAGTAGCATATACCGTATCGAAGTATACCGTGTACCAGCATCTTCCTTATCAACACTATTAAATCAATCTCACGGTGTGTCATATTAATGTGAGAGATAAGCCGAAGCGATGCGGGTCTCGGGGTGTTTACCGTGAAATCCACAGGCAATAATTACATAAATGTGATGAAAAAAAATATTGTTCAAAATCAACTCACTTGCTGTAATGATTTTTTTTATAAATACCTACATCATTTATCATAAAGAACACTAGCCCGTGTTTGAACTTAAAAATAGAAGGTTCACGTTTCATGACAAATTTGCATCAGTAGAGTTTATAGATAATGCCGACGCAATACACACAGTAGACAGTGTATGACTAAACACATCCAGCATCAGCCGCGGTGGTATATAAACACGTACGGGATGTACAGCAGTAGGGACAAGGTTGCTTCCTTGTGTGGTGCCAAGCAGCATCGTCGCCGTCGTGAAGTCGTACAGGCAAGATGATGACGCTAGCATGGTTTATGCTCATGTCTTCCATGATGAGTGAGTACAACGAAGTTATTCTCTGATGGCAATCTTTTCATTACTATATTTTGAAAGAATTTGAAAATTAATTCGG